TTGTATGAGATAACTGATGGAAGATGTGCAAATAATGTATGGTTTTCATATTTTATGAACACACACTATAATTTTTTATAAAAAAATAAATTGTTTTTCCTCACCTGATTACAATTAGTATGTCACAAATTTTGTATTAAATCTCATATAAATTGGTTATTCTAAGTAGCAACAGTCTAATGTTTACTTATTCACTAAGTAATGTTAGTCTGTAGGGAACCTTAACTCCAAAAAATGAATTTCATTAACGGATTTCAATTGAAATTCCTTTTAAATTATTATCATTTATTTATTTCAATCTATTTTCAGTTGATTACAATGAGTAAGTTAATAAACAAATTGTAAAGAACCACATCTTTACACCTGAAATATCTATTTGGTGAGAAGAACCAATCAAGTAAAGAGATTTCTTTTCAGAGATACTTCATTTGTTGGTTAAACAAGAAAGTACAAGATGTTTTGAAGTTTTATTTAATTCTATACTATACATTACTATAATTAAGTCATAGTAGCTAAAGATATTTGAGTTTAGTAAGATCATTATCAATAAACATCAATAGTTATATGTTACAAAGAAAATATTGGTATGTCAATTGGCTAAATAATTTACCTAAATGTTTCATCTTTGTTACGTTTGTCTTAAAAACAAAACACCGATGTTGTACAACAACAACAGTCGTTCACGTAAACTGTCATTTTAAATTTAAGTTAACTTTTTAATATTTTTCAACATTTTTTACATAATAAAGAAATTACAATTACATGTACAATTTACTAATTAATGGAAGTTATTAATTTTCACTTGTATATAAATATACTACTGAATAGCGATGTATGTATGAATATTGTGTTACACCAATATAAAATTAAAAATAAAGATAAATTATACATTTAAAATATTACGGTAATATCTAGGGATATGAATTAAAGTATCGACTATTTTAATTGTTTTGTTTCTTAGAAATTGTTACACGGATACAAATAAGTACGATAACACTAATTAATAAGTTAAAATCAGCTTTCATGAACAGATTAAATCAGATGATGAGCTATTAATTTTAAAACAACTTCAAAGAACTGTCTCCATATTGTGGTACTTTTTGATAAAGCATATTCGTTAAATAATAGATTGTTTATGTCTCATAAATAAGACGACGCATTCCGGTTGCTGATTCATTTTTCCGTGATTTACATTTCCAATGTGAGCTGCTAATATTTAGCACAACATATTTGTCAATTATTGCCAATGCAGAATAATTGACTTCCAGATTTTTATATGACTTCTAATTGAAAATTCTAAAAATCATCTCATGTTTAGTGGTAAGTGAGTAAACAACTATTATAAAAATATGTCAAATGAAATTTACGAAATTGCCCAAGTATCTCAACTTAATTGTTTGAATATTTTATGTTTGTTTTGTGATCCAATGTTTTTGGGTTAAATTTGAGTGTGGACTACTGACGTGGCTTATAGTAAGATAAAATATGTGCATAGCATTCATTGGTTTTCTATAGATCTTTGCTTGATGTCACTCCTTCAGGAAATTTAGCTATGAACTGATCTATTGAGACAAACATTCCATTCAAATGGAAGCAACAGTTTTGAGTCTCAAATATTACGTTAAATCTTCATTCGACGAACTAGTTTTCATTACTGTCAATAATGATGCAGATGATTTTATGTGTATGTGTTTGTTTTCTTGGTTGTTGGTGAAATTGAGTCATTGAGCAGTCACTATTAGCGTAAGTGCATTCTGCCCCAGCCGATTATGTGCTACAGATAATTAAATTTTTTAGCCTATGATTTCACTGCTAATCATAGCCCAAATTTTTTGTTTACGATCTGGTAAAACGTTTAAGTAATTCATCTACTCATTTAATAGTATTCCATTTAAAATGTTACCAACTGATATTCTTCTAACGATTCAGTCGTTATTATAATAAAAAGCTGGAAGAGGTCAGCGTCATACCTGACATTGATTTACTGGCGAAAGTAATTCTAGTTGTGTCGTTAATAATTTATTCATTCAGAATTGAATCCGAATATGTGGATAGTGTTATCAAATATTAGCAGTCCTTGTGTTACTCAACACTAATGTAATGTAAACTTTAGGCATCGAAAGGTTATTCATACTATGGTAAAGTAACTGAATTTCATACATTGTTCTATATATTTCTACTTTGTTTTCTGTGCGGACGTATATGTTTTTAGACTGTACTTTATTTGGGTTATCAAGCTTTTAAAATGATTTCACTGAAACTATTGTTCTTAATCGAAAATAAGCATCTTCGACAAAACTGATTGTTAGAAAGTTTTAACATTACAACTCTCTTAAGTATTCTTGAAGCAAGGACACGTTTTGGTGGCAACCACGTTCCACATCACGACCATGATGAGTGTATACAGGAGAAACGAAAACTAATATGCTCATTTTCATAAAATCAATGTAGTCCTTTTTGTCAGAGTGAAGCTTTTACCTCTAGGAACCTATGTAAAGAACTATTTTTTTACGATAATATGATGCACTGTCCTTGGTAACGTGAACGATTTTGTCGTAATAATACATGTTACTATAACCGTAAAGATCTGAGTAAAATTAATTTTTCTAATTTAAGATTTGTTAGTAACTAAGAAAAAAAAGATAGTTATAATGACTGAGATATAAAAACAAAACACTAACATTTAAGCCATGCATAAGTTCATTTATATTAATTAAAAACTTGAAATATTTTATATATGCGGAACAATTACGTAATGAGATCTATTTTTAAGACAATATTCCTTAGGTGATTGTATTCCAAATGCTTCATCTAGAATAGATATTGTCATTACGTCAATAATTATCTGATACATGCATTCTCTATACGGTGGTATTACTTCGATGAAAGTATTCTCACAAAACACGATTTGTATATTTTCGTATAGATTTTTGAAATTATAGGTAATATCACGAACTGGCTATGAACAGAGGAAACTATTGGATATCAGATAGCACTGGAAAGTGGTCTTACCACAGAATATGGTTGTGAATTAGTTCACACCCAGTACTTGGACAAGGATCGTGCTAAAAAAATTCAAACCTTGTGGCAAGCGCCTTGCGTTTAAATCAATTTAAATTCAGCGCTTGGTTGTCCAATGCTTCTAGGTTTTCGTTTGCTATGTAGCTAAATTCTGTCAGCAAAGTATGCCAATAAAATATCAGTTCATCAAAAAATGTCCCCTTATACAATTATAATGGAGATTCACCTTGTGGAATACTGTGTAAAACGTCGTAAACGGTAAAATTGTTCAAAAATATTTTTATTTGAATTCATTTTTTTGTCAATTAAAGAAAATAATTTTGAGTATTACAGTAGTCGGTGCCCGTTGGAATATTGAGTTTTAACGTTAATATATATCGTATCATATTTATTGAAAAGGCTTTATTAGACTGTGTATCTTTTTTTTGCTTACTTCAGCCTACTAATAACAGTTAACTGAAATGCTTAATATGATACAAACAATATGTTGAACAGTTACATTGATTTTTTTGTTGTTTTTTTAAGCCAACGGTAATTAACATACAATTGTGATTATTATCATCATTTATTGATTTTCTGTCTCTCAGACTGTTGTTATTTTATCGATATTTTTTCTTAGTATATCGGTGAATATTATAATTGCATTCAAATAGGCATTCATAATTACATCTCTTATATTTCTTTAAGTTGAACAAAAGTGATTTCCTAAAGCTTATTGAAGATAATTTTCAGTTTTCATCAGGATCGTTTATTTGGTTATGTTATGATGAAATAATCAACCGGTAAACTACCGAAATGTAGGCGGCTGATTAAATGTTGATAAACAAGTACTTGATGGCGTAACCTTGCTCTAAATGACAATGCCTAAAGTGATAACAAATGACCAACTTACTTAATATAATGAAAGGGAGAATAATTTGATTTTCATGGTGTTGTAAAAGTTAGCTAGTCATTATATAACACATAGTTATCAACGGCTCCACAGATATGTTATTAAGTAATCAATAAGACCTCTGTGTTGATGGCTTATTTAACCAATAGAGTTATTTATAAACAATTGAAGAACTATTTATAATATGGTTTACGCACACTGTTAGTTGATCATTTAAGCTGAGATCAACTCAATAAACAAACATCAAGTGCTCATTTATAGAGCATTGTTCTACCTGGAGTTTGTGCTGATGATAACGTTCAGAAGAAAGATGAAAGCTCCACGACTAAACCATCCAGCTCAGTAAACAAAACTCCACCAAGTCGGTCAGTGTTTATTGCTAACTAAATCACAGCAAGAATTTTCATTTATTTTAACGATGAAGTAGGTTGTGAAACTTATGTGTTTTAGCATAAGTAAGCGAATCGTATTCAGTTTCTATCTTCGAAACTTGCAGTTTTGAAAGAATCGAAAACCTTACATCAGTAATTAGACTCATGAGCAATCAAATGAACCCAAGCTTCTGTTTAGTATGTGCTGAAACTAAAGGTGATACTCGGTTTCCGCTCTCATCATAGCATTAAGTTATTTCAAAAAATAATGAGCAATGTTCAGCCTGATACCGATGTATAACACCAGCTATGGTTTCACCAACTACATAACAAGAAGTTAACAAGGTGAAGTATTAATTGTGTTAGGAAAACGAAGAAAGAAATTTTAATTAAATGATGGGCGAAATGCTGTTGATCAGTCGAAATTCCTTTAAACATATGATAAATAGAACTTTATTTTTAAACAAATGCAACTTAATTGTTGCATTATATTTGTTTCAATGTGCTAATTTACATTAAACAGTGCAGTATTGACTAGTCTGAAAACATTTTTGACACAGTATAAATTGGGAAAGTTTCGGTTGCATAATAATTAACATTTTTACGTCGATGAGACAAACAGAATTATATTGCTCAACATGATATTGTTTTTAATAAATAATATGCACAACATATCTTTCATAGAAAATAAATTATTATACAATGTAAAAGCTTACCAAAATCATCTATACAAAATGAATCTTGTAATAATGGTCGACCGCATGATCTACATTTTGGTTTATAATTCCATGGTAATTGCAAATTGTTATCATCATAAGGATGATTCGGCTCTTCTCGTGGGTATCGTCTATATCGTAAACTGTACCACGAAGGTAAATTATGAAATGCGTTCAGTCCTTCGTGTGGATATAAAATATTAGGTTGATTGTATTCATCGTTTGGACGTTTTCGATTCCCTTGATAATCAAGATATGTTTGAGAATAAATATTTGGTAGTTGTGGTTGATCTTGTAATTCTTTTCGTCGAACAGAATTCTTTATGACTTCAGAACTCATATTAATCGATGATACATTTCCTGAATAAATAAATCTATTAGAAGTGATTGTAGTTGTTAATGCAGATGGTGTTGTAATTTGACGAGCAGATGAAGCACGTTCAATCCAATGACGATTTGAAGGACGTTTAATTTGAACAGCAGTATGGACCTTGATTTCTTCCTTTGTTTGTTCAAATATAAAGTAACTGTTAACAAGATAATGAAGAGAAGATAATAAGAAGGCAACGCTTCCATAACTAAGTAAAGTTTTCGTCTAAATATCAATGTTTTTTTCTATACTATATAAATTTTCAGATAAGGTTTTGTGTTTGTTATATGTATATTTATAAAAAGTCCAAGGGTATTTTTATTGAAAATCACCATTTAAATAAATCGTTAAATAATGACTGTGTTCAATTGTGATTTCAATCTATATTTCATAATTTTCAGTCACATTCAAATGTGTAAAAGCTAGAAGGTTAGTTTGCATATAACCACAAATTGTTGAAATACATTTTCTTTTTCTAAATTCAACCAAAATTTCTTCTTCACAAACGAGTTGGATTTTTTTTTTGTTTGTTTTAATATTCAGCATCACTTATTCATCAGTTGAATTAAAGTTCATATAATATTCTTCCCGAAGAAAATATTTTAACCAATCAAAACTAGCTATTTTCTAATATCGTTTATACTTTGAAAGGTGATTGGTTAATTTATTTGTTTGTTTTTTTTATTCCTCATTTCATTATCTCGAGTAATAATAGTCAAGACACGTGCTTTATCCCATTTTAGATGAATATTCGAATATTGTGTACTTCTTATTTTTAATGACATCGTAAACAAAACTATGAACACAATACTGACCACTTAGAAAGTGTGTTATAGAGTTGAAATAACTTTTCTACTTGTTATCTTATACTATTTGAACTTGTGTTCATTTAATTTCTTCTTTTTTAAAAATTACTCTCTAATGAAGTGACTTGAAATAATAAAACGTTGGAAGTTCCAATTTTTATTCAATGAGATATTACAAATGTATCACTATTTTACTATGATCAGTCAAACTGGTGATAATTAATAAAATATTTTAAATAAAATGATTATTTTATCCACAATAAGTTGTTATGAGCACTCAGTAGATAAGTGGATAACGTAATGGAGTTTGAAGCGAACGGTGCCGGGTTCGAGTCCTGGAGTGAACATCAACTCTGTGATACAGGTATTTTCAGCTGACGAAACGCGCATCCTTAATTCCATTACCAGCCACTATCCATCTTCGCTTATAAAGACTGTGATTTAAGGCAATATCGATGCACATAGACCAATAAGAGATTGATCAATTGCAGTCCTAAACATCAATGAGAAGATTCAAGTAAACAATACCAAGTGAATTTGCCTTAAATAGTTATTCATCCAAAACATTTTAAACAAAAATACGTAGTTTTTTTATATTTTCTTCGGATATTTTAACATTAATATAGTATGAACTATTGGTGACCAACAGTCATGAATCCTATATTTCTATATCGAAGTATTATCTTCGACATTACTTGAAATATATCTCATCTAATGCAATTTTGGTAGAAACGCATTATCATATGATAGTTTTTTATGTACAGAAAAATTTGATTTTTTAGATAGATTTGAAAGATACTTAAAAGTCAGAACCCATTATTAAAATGTACATTTTGCAAACGAAGAATATAATCATGTATTTACAACTAATTATTTCTATGGAAAATTAATGTTCTATTCAGTATCAGCTTTGGGTTACTTGATAAAATACTTAATATCAAATGATTTCCACAAGAGGGTACTTTAATCTATTTGTATGCAAGTAAAAGCCCACATTTTCAAATGAAAACAATTTTATACTTCAAAATAAGCAAAAGTCCTTATTCCTATATGCTTGTCGTTTTGAAAACAACTTACTTATATCCCTAACAACAGTTGTGTTCTTGTGATAATCACAAGATGAATCAATATGAACGATAAAATACCTATGGCTTAGGATCAAACCTATGTTGCATAATAATATATTACAGTTTGAAATTGTAAAACCAGCGAACTGGTGCATATTTAAGTACCAGTATAAAGTATTATAAAAACCAACAAAACTGAATTACACAATAGATTTTCTTGAAACGGAAATAACATTTCGAGGTTCACATTACTGCCGGACTTCGGTTGAACAATCACCGGAAACCGTAAAGCATTGAACAAGTAGTTTACAAAAGTATCAGATGCCTTAGCATTTCACATCTAGAAACTTCGAAAGAATCAGAACTAGGATATTCATACCTCATGGTGAATGTTTAACCATCAGATAACTGAGCCGATACTGAGTGGTTTATGGTTCTTATTTCAGACGATTAGCAATATTGCACAACCATCTTCTATTAGCATTAAAACCATTTGTCTCATACCCACAAAATATAGTTTGCCGAAACCAAGTATTTATCAAGAATTGTCTAACGACAAATACCACAGTGACTGAAACAGTGAACATTAAATTTAGTTGATTAGAGTAAAGAGATAGAGAGAGCCTTTAAGCAGAACATAACAGCATTCCAGTCAATAAAGGGATTATTTGTTTTCGTGTATTTACAACGTTTTACTACATTTCAATCTTTTATAAATCAGTGAAAGTTTTATGGTTCCCGACCGTTACTGTTACCTTGACGTGAAAGTCGGGCTTGCCTATCGTGATGAAATTATCAAACTATACTGGCTAGAACAACTATTCCTCAAGGTCCTACCATTCCACACAGGTTGATTAAAGAACGGTAAGATTAAAAGCAGCAAACCCAAGGTCCGACGGCGAAGCCCTACTGCTAACTGTACAGAGGTGTGACGGCAGTAGTGCGTTTCTTCCAGACAACCAGCATAACAGCGATGCTGCCTTCCCACAAGGAGGGTTGTGGTCAGAAAACGTCAACTCTAAAAATACAAATCTCGCCTTATCCTACGGTTTTCCGTCTTTGGCGGTAAAGTTCCAATAAATACGGGCTAACACGAAAATTACTCACAAAAAGGTCGTGTGTTATTGACCCCAAGCAGTTGTACCTTGGGCACTGCGATCACGCTCTCAGATCCCTAAGGTTACCCCTAATCCAACTTCCTTTACAGGTACCTCCAGAAGAACCCTTCCACGGTGTGGACAACTGAGAAGTGATAGCTTCCCTCATACCTCTTCCTCTGTAGTTCTATGGTTATCAGTCTTGCTGTAAAAATACTAGGTTCAAATCTTTTAGTCAAAGTACAATGTTTCCTTTTCCCATCTTCAGTCATATAACACCATTGCATCTCCCAGAAACTCCAACAAATCATGAAAAAACTGAATTTAAGTTCTCTCACTTTTGTGGTGCTTCTAGGGGTTGCGCTTGAGCATGATCTAAACCGATTTCCAAATAGATAACCCCTTAGAAATTGTCAAGACCGATAAATAGTTCTGTGAAAGAAACTGTGAAATTTAAAACTGAAAATATTTTATGAATCAACTAAGATTTATGCGACATTTATTTTATTTCATTCCACATTCCTTGAACCACTTCATATTTGTGATAAGAATGATGATGTACCAGTAAGAAGAATATTTTAAACCAAATGATACTAAAGAAATAAAACGAAATTCAATCTTTAATTAAAAAACCCTCTAATTTTCTTGTCTAAGTAGTGGTGTATCACTTTATCTTCACTACTAATCACCCACCACCAATGCTTATTCAGACAAGATCCAATTCTTTTATACATTTTATTACTTCCAGTCAAGAGAATATTCATTAGATGATGAAACTGAGCAAAAAAGAAAACACAAAAAAATGTTAGACTGTTGAAAATAGTTTTTTGATTAGAGAAACATAAAATAACTGAAAAAAACTCTCTGTATGTGTGCATGTGTGCGTGTGTGCGTGTATATGTATGTGAGTGTAAAAAATGCCGTTTAATAATGAGATTTTTTTTCAACTGTTCAGGAAGAAACTAGGTAAAATTTAAAAATTTATACCAAACTAAGTATTAACACGTAACCAAAAAAAAGTATCCAATGGAATTGTTATTTCCCACTTAAAACTTCAATTTAGACAAGTTTGTATTTATTTTTAATTTAAAAAAAAAACAAAAAATTCTAGTAAATCATAATGCTTGTTTTTTTCTCTTGTTTTATTTCATTCAAAATTATGTATCTGAAATGAATAAGATTTTATCGTTACTATAGATACTATATGTCCTCAATTCCTAATTAGATCAACTAGATTTTGTTTCTCAAAAAAAAAGAAACAACGTTGGATAATGTTTCATTTTAACAAGAAAGAAGAAGAAACCAACACATATGTAAAATATATATTAAAGCAATGTGTATAAGCATATAAACATCATTTAGTTTCAGAATTATGTCTAATAAATTACTAATATTATTATCAGTAGTTGTAGATAATTTTCACATTTTTACAGGTAGTCCATTTTAATTATTCATTAATGAAATATTTTCAAAAAGGTGCAGTGTTATTTTTTTTACTTTTAAAATAAAAGGGTGGCATAGATACTACTGTACAGTGTATAAAGTATGGTGTAGACTCCCCTCTCCCTCTCCCTCTCTCTCTCTATGTATATATATATATATAAGAAAAGTTGCAAAAGATTGGAAAAAGAAGAAAGAAAGAAAAACAGTCAAGTTTGAAATATGAACACCAAGAACTAGAAATTCATATAAACATTCATTAAAGAAATTGTTTAAAGTTTTCTTGAACAAAAAGAATGTAAATGATCATTTTAATTATGGTTTATTAGTTTATTAAATATTACAGTCATTAATATATTTAAATTATTATTTTGATAATGATTAACATTAATGTATCGGTTTTAATGGAAGGTAATATTATAAAAAAAATATTCAAAGTTTACTTATTAAGCTAAGAAATGATTTGAAATGATCATTATTATCAATTATTATTATTATTATTACTATTATTATTATTGTTATTATGATCAAAGCTTATGACATTTCATTTGGTTTACAATAAAAGAATTCCTTTTTATGCTTACATTGTATGTTATGTATAACTGTCTTTAAGTGTACTGAATATCCTGGTAGCAAAAATGAAATTCACTTATAATAACACTAAATCACGAAGGTAATTTCATAAACACAATCATTCAGGATTTAACTATATGAATCAAAAAAGATTATTCATTAAAACTATATCGGAAAAATTAATAAAAAAATACTTATTTTTATTTTAAGCGACGTTGAAGAACATCTTTTTGTTGTATATTAACATAATTGTTTGGCACTATTTTTTTTCAATTATTAGTTTAACGATATCAATTCAACTTATCATGCTTGAAGATCATGTTAAGAATTGTTATTGTAAACAATCAGAAGTTAGAATTGAAATAAGATTTATCAAGGACTTGATTCATTTATAAATATATGCGGTACAAAACTTTAGGAGTAAATGTCAAGTATCTTTATAATGAATGTATCAAATAGGTGAAATAGCACTCTGATGTATAATCTTACATTTAACGCTTTCTTGAACCTATAAAATTATCCAATATATGATTGAAATACAAATGTTTCTACCATAAGAGGTGTAC